CTGTTGTAGTTTCCGGGGAGGCATTCTATCTGTTGTTTTCCCCACTGTAGCCAGATCTTTCTGACCCGCAGGGAACCTGGAGTGCCCTTGTCTCTTTTCCGACCTTATCCCCTTCCCTTTTTTCATCCTTTTCTTCTATATTGTTCCGTACCCTTCCTTTTCTGCTATGTCTTTTTCGTTGATCTATATCATTCTATCTGTTGTTTGCCCCACTGTAGCCAGATGTTTCTGACCCGCAGGGAACCTGGAGTGTCCTTGTCTCTTTTCCGACCTTATCCTCTTCCCTTTTTTCCTGAGTTTTTCTTCTATTGTTCCTTACCCTTCCTTTTCTTCTATGTCTTTTTCATTGATCTATATCTGCTGTAGTTTGCGGGGAGGCATTCTATCTGTTGTTTTCCCTGCTGTAGCCAGATATTTTTGACCCGCAGGGAATCTGGAGTGCCCGTGTCTCTTTTCCGACCTTATCCTCTTCCCTTTTCTCCTCCTTTTCTTCTATATTGTTCCTTAATTACTCTTCCTTCTCTTCTATGTTTTTTTTCATTGATCTATATCTGCTGTAGTTTCCGGGGAGGCATTCTATCTGCAAAATAGTTTTTTAGTTTTTTTTTCATAGTTCTACGACACCGGTCGTGGGGGGTACCCTTCGGTGAGCCTCAAAAACTCATTTTTTTATACAATATAAAAAGAAACTGATCATTTCGGGGGGATCTGTTTTTTTTGTTGAAACGTTCTAGTTTAGGAACTTCAGACATCCAGGGTTGCTACTCCCCAAAGGGAATTACGTATATGATATATACCCTCATACATGGAAGAGATCCAATTCCTTGAAGAATTACATACATAGAATATAGGTCCCAAGTGAAAATATTCATCATTTTTTTATCCCTCCTACCTTAATGAAATTATTTCAGGGGGGGTTACCCTCCAAAATAATTTTTTGAAAATAATTTCAAAAATCTAACATGTTGGATGTATAGATTTATAGACTCTAACCATTGCCAAAATAATTTCTGATTGGAAATTATTTTGAGGGATTTTGATGGGTTACCCCCCCCTCAAAATAATTTTGACGAAAACACTCTCACAGCAAAAAAATATTTCAAAATAATTTTGGTGTTTGACCTTGTTTTGATCCGATGACATATTCCACCTTTGGTCGTGCACTCAAGTTTCTGCAGGCTGTGTTCACACAGCACTTCTTCGCAGTGATGGCAGTGTTGTAACTTTCGGAGGAAACGATGTAGAACAATGCGATATCCCATCTTGCGCAATGTTGGGCTTGCAAAAGTGGCTTATTATGTTTTAGGTTTTTTGTTTTTTAGGATTGATGCGTTGCGAATCCTACAACGCAAATAAATTCAACATCATGTTTCATGTGTGCTCCCTGGTAGTCATGTCAGAATCCCACCAAAAATTAAGTTGCAGCGAGAACGCATCAAAACTTGCAACTCGAAACCAAACTCGTTCTTTAAGAAATTATTCAAAGGATCTTGGAGATGCCCTGCATTCCTCAAAAATCAATGTGGGAAGCTGCCAGAACCATCCAACTCGCCCATATACTGGAAACAAATGAAAAACCTATCAAAACCGAACGCTTCCCAAAAAAGAGTTCGTTGGAGGGAAATGAAGGGAATATTGGAGAAAAATGGGAAATATGACAGGTTAGGAAAATCACTACAGGAAAGGGCCAGGTTGAATACTATTTTGTGGTATTTCCCACGGGGAAAAATTATTTTAGGGGTATTGGAGATACCCTGCACTCCTCAAAAACCAAAGTGAGCAGCTGCCAGAACCATCCAACTCGCCCAGAAACTGGAAAAAAATGAAAAACCTATCAAAACCGAACGCTTCCCAAAAAAAAGTTCTTTGGAGGGAAATGAAGGAAATATGGGAGAAAGAGGGAAAAACATGAAAGGCTAGAAAAACCACTATAGCAAAGAGCTAAGTTGAATACCATTTTGTGCGATTTCCCAAGAGGAGAAATTATTCTAGGGGTATTGGAGATGCCTTGCACCCAAAATTCAAAGTGAGCAGCTGCCAGAACCATCCAACTCGCCCATAAACTGGAAACAATTGAACAATCTATAAAATCCGAACGCTTCCCAAAAAAGAGTTCTTTGGAGGGAAATGAAGGGAATATGGGAAAAATAAGAGGAAATATGACAGGTTAGGAAAATCACTACAGGAAAGGAATACTATCTTGTGGGATTTCCCAACCGGAGAAATTATTTTAGGGGTATTGGAGATACCCTGCACTCCTCAAAAATCAAAGTGAGCAGCTGCCAGAACCATCAAACCCGTCCATATACTGGAAACAAATGAAAAACCTATCAAAACCGAACGCTTCCCAAAAATGAGTTCTTTGGAGGGAAATGAAGGGAATATGGGAGAAATAATGGGAAATATGACAGGTTAGGAAAATCACTACAGGAAAGGGCCAGGTTGAATACTATTCTGTGGGATTTCCCAAGAGAAGAAATTATTCTAGGGGTAGTGGAGATATCCTGCCCTTCCCAAAAATCAAAGTGAGCAGCTGCCAGAACCATCCAACTCGCCCAGAAACTGGAAAAAAATGAAAAACCTATCAAAACCGAACGCTTCCCAAAAATGAGTTCTTTGGAGGGAAATGAAGGGAATATGGGAGAAATAATGCGAAATATGACAGGTTAGGAAAATCACTACAGCGTCACTACAGGAAAGGGCCAGGTTGAATACCATTCCGTGGGATTTCCCAAGGGAAGAAATTATTCTAGGGGTATTGGAGATACTCTGCACTCCTCAAAAATCAAAGTGAGCAGCTGCCAGCTGAATAAAAAAATAAACACCGAATGCTTTCCCTTTCACAGTCATTCCCACCGAGTGTTCTTTGGAAGGAAATGAAGGGAATGTGAGAGAAATGTGGGGAAGTATGAAAAAAAATTGAAATATGTAGGAAAGAACCCAGTGATGAAGATGATGGTTGAACATTTTTTTTTGCGGGAATCCCCAAGTGTTTTTTTTTAAATCTTTTTTTGTTCAACCATTTAAAATTTAGATGAAGTTATGTCAAAACATAGTTATTCCAGGGTATATTTGAAGGCTTAGATTATAATTCGCATATTCCAATATGCACATCCGTAGGCCCACTGCTTAGGAAAATTATTCAACAACATGTTTTCTTTAAACATATTCCAAAACCTGGTTGATACCCCCGCGTTTTTCTTGAAGGGATGGAATATCCCCGGTACACCTGCGAAGGCGATCATGTCGGGTAGGGGGGGGGTCCCAAAGTATACATATGTAAAGATGGGAGTCTCCGGAGGGGGGCAAAATAATTACCTCCCCAGGGGTTGAAATAATTTTTACGAAGGTTCACCACCGTCGATGAAGGGGAGGGGGGGGTCTATCGTAAGAAATTATTTTACCCTAAAGAGGGTTGTTTCGTATAACAACCGAAGACACTATCAACCCCCTGAAAATAATTTTGGAAATTATTTTGAGGAGGGGGGGAGGGGGGGGGTAGTTTAGGTAGGGTAGATATTTTTTGGGGGAACACCACCCAATTCCATTGGTTTTCATTGCAACTAGTTTTTGTTTTCATAGTTCTACGACACCGGTCGGTGAGCTTGAAAAACTCATTTTTTAATACAATATAAAAAGAAATTGATCATTTCGGGGGACCTGTTTTTTTTGTTGAAACGTTCTACTCTGATGTCAAAGTAGACGCTCAGAATCTTGAGTGGCGCCATCTATGTCATATGCAAAATGCGGGGGATAGATGGCTCAACTGCCATTCAAAACAGGTCAGTTGCGCCATGTATCCCTAAAAATGACTCATTTTTTTGCAATCTTCTGCGCTGTTTCTCCCATATGTTTTTTTCTCAACATCAAGCTGCCTTTTTGGGACATAGATGGCGCAACTCCCACCCATTCGCCAAAATCAGGCTGGGAATGCCCACATAGATGGCGTAACTCCCTCACTCATATCTCCCGACATCCATAAGCCAACCTAACCAACATATGCCACATAGATGGCGCAACTCCCTCACATCTCCCGACATCCATAACCAACCTATAGCCAAAATATGCCACATAGATGGCGCAACTCCCTCACATCCTGACATCCATAAACCAACCTAACCAAAATATGCCACATAGATGGCGCATCTCCACATAGATGGCGCAATATTTTACAATTTCAATATATGCATTCTGATTATTTTTAGATGTATAATATTTACATACCGTGAACCCCCCGTTATTGGCAGATATGTTTCTTATTTTTTCATCTTTTTTCTAACGGATGTAGGGTTTAGGGTTAGACACGATATATTTTGATAGACATGTAATTTTTCAACATATGTTGGCAAAAAAAACGAAAAAACCCGGGGTACTACCACGATAGGTCCTCAAACACTCTTTGTGGGGACCTATCGCCTGAGTCCTGGTGGTTTTGCCTCCTGTCTTGGGATAACTTTGATGTCTTTCCTGGTGGTTTTGCTTCCTGTCTGGGGATAACTCTGATGTTTTTCCTGGTGGTTTTGCCTCCTGTCTTGGGATAGCTCTGATGTCTTTCCTGGTGGTTTTGCCTCCTGTCTTGGGATAGCTCTGATGTCTTTCCTGGTGGTTTTGCTTCCTGTCTTGGGATAACTCTGATGTCTTTCCTGGTGGTTTTGCCACCTGTCTTGGGATAGCTCTGATGTCTTTCCTGTTGGTTTTGCCTCCTGTCTTGGGATAGCTCTGATGTCTTTCCTGGTGGTTTTGCCTCCTGTCTTGGGATAATTCTGATGTCTTTCCTGGTGGTTTTGCCTCCTGTCTTGGGATAATTCTGATGTCTTTCCTGGTGGTTTTGCCTCCTGTCTTGGGATAACTCTGATGTCTTTCCTGGTGATTGATTGTAGGGGTTTGGGCAATCCGGAACTTGCGCCAGAATGGGTTTCCAAGTTTCAAACGGATTTCGATCGCGTTGTGAGGACTTGTATTTGTTGATGTTTTTTTTACCGCAACGTTTGCGTCCTCAGCGCTTCACCACATCAACGCCTCAGTGCCTCATGGCTCCGTTACATTCGGGGTGGCTGCCTCAGATTTGGAGTTATATGAACATTCAAACATTTTTTTCTTGGACACTGATACACAATCGTCAAATCAATTTGCCATTAGGTATTTTTCTTCACTACAAAAACGCACTTGCTTTGTTGCAGGTTGTACAAGGCAACCAACGTAAATTGGCACCACTGTGTGCCAAAGACAGGTTTAGAGAAACTCGGCCTCGCTGTGAAGGGGACGTTGATTGGGGTCATCGAAAACATCCATTCGACTTGTCAAAAAATTATGTGGGGTGGCAAACACATTCTAGGGTGCATGCATTGGACGTGTCCATTTTGTTTGTGCAATAGACCTCGGACATGGTCCGTTTGTTACCCCTTGGCCATTGCTGGCGTTCTTTCGTTTAGCTGGCATGTTGGATCATGGTGGATCGTGTTGCAACATGTTGGATGATGCTGGGTGTGGTTGGATCATGTTGTGTGAGATTAAAGATGATGAGTGATGACCACAATTATATATTTGCATTCTCCCCTCCGAAAATATTTGTTCCATGCTATGCTTAGGAATCCTTTGGGTATCCAATTCCCGGGCCTCCGGGTGGACATTTGCATTGGGGTATCAGAAAGAATGAGAGTCTTTTACAATGAAATGTTCCTGGCAAATAGGTGCCCTTCACAGAAACTGCTAAAAACTCACCAAAAAAACATGTTTGGTACACAAGGGGTTTACCCGGACGGGCATGATCAATTGTCGTTTTCAAATCTTAGTTTTGATTCTTCACTTATCAGTATTTAATTCATGTGTCCAAAATGGTGTTTTCGACTTGACGCCCTGTCGAGTTGTGAACACTTCAGTTTCATCAATGGTCATATCTTTTGCTTCGATGATCATATATGTTGTGGGTCTGTCAACTTCCAACTTGCTGAACATTTGGAATTTGGAAACAAACATTTCGGGCGTTCCGGAATTTTCACCATGGGCTTCAACTGTCATTTGTCGTCCTTGTTCCTGTGGATCCAGGAGTCATCCACAGGCGCTGTTATTAGCACACACCCCACTCAACCCCACCCCTCCCCGCCTCCCCGCCCCACACTTTTCCACGTAGTATTAAGCACGCGCTGACGTGCAGGTGAGCTTCAAGCAACATAGCATCAAAGAAGTGTGCAAGTGCTCAGATTTGAGCAGCATAGAATCTCGCATGTGCAAAAGAAATCGATTCGACCCCGTCCTTGTAACCCCTCCCGGTCCAACCAACATGTTGCGCTTTGTGTTGTTAGTAAAAACGCCCTTCAAAATATCTTACACAATATTTCACGGTTCTTCGGACCATGACGAAACTCCTGGCCGTCTTGCTTTCCAGGAGACCCTTGTTCGCCTTTTTCATCGAATTCCTTGAGTGAGAAATTCGGCTACAAGGGTGCAACTCGGATGTCACATTCCACTCGGTTCAGTTAGGAGAAGCGCCAAGAAATGGACAGACTTCCAGAGAAATTTCAAGAGAGGAGTGGAACTGGAAGTCAAGTGATTGAATGAAAACAAAACATGAAATGAGATGAGAGCCAGGATCATAGCCGCAATGAAAAAGAACAGGAAGGGCTGGTTCCGGCTGTGCCAGGTGCACCATCACGAGTTGCCAACGAGGAGCAAAAATATTTCGAAGTCCGAATTCACAAAGTCATGACCTCAGTGACCTCAGTGACCTCAGTGATCTAAATATTGGTCATGTGTGCCATATTGGGTGATGGATGGGGATGGTCAGCGACCCGATATATAATAGGGATTTGAATTATCCATGATCAGGAATCACCAATGATAATGATAGTGGAATGACCATAACCATCCATAACCCATATACCATATTATACCATCATATACCAAGTTTTGCTCATGGCACATGTGCTGTCACCTATGGAAACGCCCCGTCGACCACCTAGGCCACCAAAATCCTAGGAGCGGTTCTGCCCTTGGGGGTCGATGCCAGCGGAACACCGGGCAGTCATGAGCAATTCAAATCCAACTCGAACATCTCGAACAGTGTGATTTGTTTCGGAAATAAAGAAATGAGTGCCAGGGCAACCCATCAGCGGCACATGTCTGAGAATTTGGAGACAAAGTTATCAGCAGGTGTGTTAGGGGTGAAGGCTACATGACCACATCTAGAGCGCACGACTTTGATCTTAATCTGTCCCTTGTTAAACCATTCCTGCAGTGCAATGCAGTACATGATTTTGTGCTATTACAATTTTCCCTTTGTATGCAAATTGCAAAGTCGCGGTTGACCATGTTGCAAGGATTTGCTGTCCAATGAACCCCCAACCCTTGGGACAAAGTCCTTAGATTGATTCTGACATGTCTCCAAGACCAACTTCAAATTGAACGCTTATTGTGTCAAAAGCTTAGTGAGTTCAGCCACGCATCATGTTCTCGGCCGGGTTGAATTTCTGGTTTCAACCTTGATGTTTCACCAATCGCTTTTCACGCCCAAGTTGAATACATGCTTTCTTGGACATAAACGCTGTCTGCTGTGGCAACAACAGTCTTGATAAGGTGACGGCCCACTATCCAGGCGAGGTTTGGTGAGATAAGACCCTAATGATTTGCTTATATGCACTTATGGGCCTATGGCCTATGGTCAACTGTGAGATGGCATGTTTTTGTTGCTAGGACACAGGATGATTTGATTGATATGATTTGGTTACCAAGAAATGCCCATTGAACCCGTGCATCCATTGAATCTATTGGATTCAGTTTGTGGCTGCAGGCGAATCCGCAGAATTCGTTGAAGCACGAAAGAAATCTTTTGTCCCGGGCAAGAAGACCGCACCGGGGTCGTGCCATGAGGAGCCCGCTGGTTCCATGGTGATTCAATGGTTGGTTGCAAGTTGGTGCTTTGAGCGGAGACTTTCATGTTTTTACTAGGTTTCACTGGGTGTATATATATATATAATTATATATACCTATACTGGTTGTGCACAGGTGCTAGTTGCTGTTGTATGCTGGCTAGTTCACCTGTAAAACAGGTTATCAGCCGTAACGTAACTTCTCCTTTTCTAGGTATGTCTGCCCCCTCGGGTTCTTCCACCGAGGGCACCGGTAACCGTTCAATCTCTGACGCTGCCATGGCGAATCCGGGGACATTACCTATCAGTGACTCTCCTTTCTCAATGGACATAAGCACCCCACCTGGTTCCGACAAATCTAGAAGCTTAAGGGAACGACGCCACCTACCACCATTGAGTAACGCAGTTGTGCCTTCTCATGTGGGTTTCAATCATCGTGGATATGTCCCCCAAGCCGCTCGGGAGGGTGGGCCACCGACTGGCCAGTTGAACCAAATGAATGTTCACAATACTTATCATCACAATGTGCATGTTGACAATCCTCAGGTAAACTTTGTCGAGCCTTCATTCCCATGACCCTGCTATGACACGCCTTGTGGAAACAACGGCCGAACTCCGCCATCGTGAGGCGTTGGCCCAGGCTGAAGCACATGCAGAAGCCGTCCACACGGCAAAAACCGAGGAATTGGTGGAAGCATTGCGAGTCCGTGAGGGTATCGAAAGTCAGAGGGCCCTAGATGCAATGACGTCCAAAGAGCAAGAAGTATTGAGATTGAGAGCACAGTATCGGGAGAATTTGAAGCATGAGGCACACGAACATGTGAGGTTCCAAGAGGCTCAAATGAATGAGAAAATTCAAGCTTATCAACGTGTCATCGATGCCAATCATTGACAGTCGCTTTCCAGTAAAGAACAGGAGATCCTTGAACTAAGAAGGCAGGCTGAGGAAGAAAGACGCATTCAAAATGATCGCATTACTCAACTTGAACAAATGGTTCAAGCCCAAATGCAACATAACCTCAAATTGCAGAGTATGCTCGATTCCCAGTTTGCCCACACACGTCCGAGTCCGATCGTCGAGACTGCCGCAATGACGACTACTGCTACGGAAACCGTCACACCATCCGCAACAGGGTTTGAGTTTGTCCGACCAACGTCGAAAGCTGTTGCAGCTGCACCACCTCCTAAGACCAATTTTCCTCCGACACCCACAAGGCCGATTGTGTTTTCTCCTCCACAGGGTGGGACGTTGGGAAAGGAAGATGAAATTGAGATTGTTTATCATGATCCAAAATACTCCGGTCCGACCCAAGTGAAGAAAGAACCTGGCATTTCCAGATCTTCGGATGCTCCACGCCCTCCGGAAGGAGCTGCCGCCAGTCTTTTTGGTGCTAATCCTTCCAATAAGAGAGGCGGCTCTCTTGTGCCCACGCAACGCTATTCCCTGACTGACCTAGGTCCCGATGACATGGACTACTTCGAGCCGGGTGATGATGATGGGCCGGATGGCAATGATCCAGGGGACGGGGGAGATGGGAATGGAGGAGGGGGCGATGGTCCTCCCACACCACCGGAGCCAAATGATTATCATCCGGGAAAGAAGAATAAGACTGGTTCTGATCCTCCAGATGGTGGTGATGGCGGTGACAATGACCCTGATAAGAACGAAGAGGATGATGAAAGTTCCGTCCTAGGATGATCAAACTTCTGGGTGGTTTTGTCGACCAGAAGAATGATGATAGGCCCAAAGTCAAGGAAGCTGACTCTATTAAGATCCCTGCTTTTCATTTGGCCGAAACCTATCGCAATTGGAGAATCAAAACACATGAGGCGGTGGTAGCCGCATCAACCGACCCCGACAATGCCTTCAAGTGGGTTAGTGAATCTTGGAAAGAGGATCAGACACTTGAAGCGCTCCGGAAGGTTGTGCCGTTTGCGACACTAGATGCCAAGCTACTTTCTGCTCTTACAAACATAATTACAGGTGACTTCGCCCGTAAGGTTGATACCTTCAAGGAAACTGAAGCCACTGCTGGGCGGATTGTTCGGGGGAGACAAGTGTTATTCATGCTCCATGACCATTTCAGCACAAACATCAAACACGGAGCCACTTATGCCCTCCAAGATTTGTTCAGTGTCCAATTGCGTGGGGAGAATCTGAAGGCATTCATTTCGAACTGGGATCAAGTGTTGGCCGGTATTGTTCAAACACCAGATGGAAGCGTACTGGAGACACTCTTCTACAAACAAGTGAAGAATTGCAAGGCTATCCAACATGACATGAATGAGTATCACAGAGCCGATGAAGGAACTGAAAAGAGAACTTACAGTTTCCATGTTTCTGCCGTCAGACGCCACCTCGACCGTGAGAGGCTGGAAGCAAATCGTGATCGAGTTGCCAAAGGTCTTTCTGGTGCTGGCCGTCCCTCCACTCCTGCAGTCGGGCAAGACCGGCTTCATACCGAAGGGGTACTGTGTGGCATGGAACAAAGGGGGCTGTAATAAAGACAACTGTACTTACAAGCATGAAACCCCAAAGCCACGTGACAAGAGTCGAAAGCCCAGCAAGACTAGAGGTCGCTCCTCTGAACGTTCTGGGTCACCCAAGCCAAAGGGTAAGGGCAAAAGAATTTGCAAATTTTGGAAGCAGGGGCGTTGTGATCGTGGGGCAGAATGTAACTTCCCTCATGAGGGTTCAGCCGGGAAACCTAGACAGGCCACTCCTGCCCGATCGGCTAGTGGCGATGGTAAGAACAAAAGAAAAACCGGAAAGCACCCAAAAAGGAAGGGGTCTAGAAGCTCTAGCCGCTCTAAGAGCCCGAAGAGTCCCAAGTCCCCCAAGTCCAAAGGATCAGGGGGTAGTTCCGCGAAACCAACTTCAGCTGCCGTTTGCTTAGTCACATTCCATGCTTGCGTTGTTTATCACGGGTAAGGAAACCTTCCCCTGGGGACACCAATTTGATGTTGACCCAGTTGCTGTGAATGATGCCGCATTAGTCGGTACCATGTCGGCCGGGTCTGTTTCCAATTGCCTTCGAGGATTTGAGAGCAAGTGTGCCTATTTATGTGACACCAACTTTGGTTGCAATGAATGTGTCCCTAAGGCAATTTCTGCCACCCCTGCGGAGTGTAAAGAAGACGTAAAGGGAGCGATCAACCTCAATTTAGACTGGATAGCAGATACAGGAAGTGCCCAAGATCTGGTGAATGATAGTGAGTTACCCGATGACTATGGATACTACCCCGACAATCCTATTCGCATGATCACCGCCAACGGCGAAAGCTCATCATGGAAGCAAGAGAGAGTGTTCGTTCCAAAATTGGGGAAAACCATTGATCCATATCTTGTCAGAAGTTCGCCTCCTGTCATTTCCGTCGGAATGAGGTGTGTCGATGACGGCTACGACTTCATATTGAACCTCCTTACATGGTAAAACCGAATGGGGAACGCATCGAGTTAGTTGTCAGAGATTATGTACCCTACTTTGCAAACAATTCGAAAACAGTTTCCGCTCCATCCACTCAGCCTAGACCAAGTATTGCCACTCCAGCATCAGATGAAGCACAACAATCTCCGGAACCCGATGGGGATATCGAAATCATTGGTGATGAACCCATTGATGTTCCAGAGCCCCAGCCAATCCTCGCTGAGGCGATTGAGGATCCTGATGCTGACCGGAAGGTTGAGCCACCTGCTGAAAGCAAGTCTAAGGGAAGCAGCAGTAGTGTCAATGAAGGGAGTGAAGATTTCAAAAGGTCACTTGGGGAAAAAGCTTTGAGGAAAGAAGCCAAATCAACCCATCATATGCTTACCCATATTCCTAAGAATCCCTACTGCGACATTCGCCAAAAGGCAAAGATGTTCAAGCCACCCTCAAGAGCCGTAGGCGGATCAACCAAGGTTGAGGCTGAGAAGTTCGGGGACCATATCACTGCTGATTTCATTGTCACCCGAGATGAAGATGAGTTGGGAATTGATGAAGAGAAAAATGCGCTCGTAGCGAAAGACATAGCCACAGAATTTATGTATGTCTATCCCAATGCAAGAAGAACCACCAATGCTGCTACTCTGGCTATCAAACACTTTGTTGGACACAATGATGAGATTGGAGTCTTCTACAGTGACAATGCACCTGAATTGATATCTGCAATGAAGATATTACAGTGCCGTCATGTGTTAAGTAGAGACTACATTTCAAAATCCAACGCTCAAGCCGAAAGAGCAGTCCGGTCAGTTTTGGAAGGAACCCGTGTCAATTTGCTTCAAGCAGGTTTGAACCACTGGCACTGGCCTCATGCTGCCCGTCATTGGTGCTTCGTGCAGAATGTCATTGCAACGGGGGGCGACAAATCACCATGGGAGTTAAGATTTGGGCCCAAATTCGAAGGGCCGCTCATTCCGTTTGGATGCGTAGTAGACTACTGGATTGGTCCACGGAAGAAGAACAAAGACGGACTTCGATTTGATCCGACATCAAGCCCTGGTTTATTCCTAGGCTATGCCATTCACCCAGAATTCATGTGGAGAAAAGAATTCATGGTTGTACCAACAAAAGATCTCGTTGAAAATGAAGCCAACGGAACTGCCTCAACTTTGCGGGTCCTCAAGATCAATAAACCCGACGAAACTCAGTATCCACTCCAAGGTCGAACTTCTTTTGGAAGGGATGACCCAGGACTCTCTGAAGCTCTGGGGAACCAAGAGCCGACCTTGGAAGATCAAGATGCTAAGATGGTTGACGATGATAAAACCCCAAGGGAAGATTTCCATGCGTCCACGGCCCATGCTGTTCACGATGAAACCTGGTTACCAGTCATGAGGCATATCAAGGATCGTGAGGGGTGGCATGAATATGCTGAATGTCACGTGAATGTGAAGAGAGATGCTGAACACTACATCTCGCCGATCAGCAAAATCTCAGTTGAAGATTGCCCCTACCAACCACATGCCACAGAAAAGGGGATGCCTGGTTCATCTTAGAACAAAACTTCATTTTGTGG